GCTACATTTACACTAGTGAGTCTAAAGTTTTTATGGGTAGTATATTTCATTACACAAACATCTTTTGTTTAGGGTTTCCAATATGGCCTCCGAGGTAGCCATTTGTCCACTTGTTTGTCCACTTCTTAGAAGACGTTACAGATGACGCATTCTTGCGGTAATGCCAATGGTTGGGTGCGGTAATACCAATAGTTGGGTGCGGTAATACCAATAGTTGGGTGAGGTAATACCAATAGTTGGGTGAGGTTATACCAATAGTTGGGAGAGGTAATACCAATAGTGGGGTGAGGTAATACCAATAGAGGGGTGAGAAAATACCAATAGTTGGGTGAGGTAATACCAATAGTTGGGTGAAGTAATACCAATAGTTGGGTGAAGTAATACCAATAGTTGGTTGAGGTAATGCCAATAGTTGGGTGAGGTAATACCAATAGTTGGGTGAGGTAATACCAATAGTTTGGTGAGGTAATATCAATAGAGCTTTGAGATAATACCAATAGTTGGGTGAGGTAATACCAATAGTTGGGTGAGGTAATACCAATAGTTGGGTGAGGTAATACCAATAGTTGGGTGAGGTAATACCAATAGTTTGGTGAGGTAATACCAATAGTTGGGTGAGGTAATACCAATAGAGGTGTGAGATAATACCAATAGTGGGGTGAGGTAATACCAACAGTGGGGTGAGATAATACCAATAGAGGGGTGGGGAATACCCACAGTTTGGTGAGGTAATACCAATAGTTGGGTGAGGTAATATCAATAGTTGGGTGAGGTAATACCAACATTTGGTTCAGGTCATACCAATAGTTGGGTCAGGTAATACCAATAGTTGGGTGAGGTAATATCAATAGTGGGGTAAGATATAACAACAGTGGGTGAGGTAATACCAACAGTGGGGTGAGGTAATACCAATAGTAAGGAGCGGTAATACCAATAGTTGGGTGAGGTAATACCAATAGTGGGGTGAGGTAATGCCAATAGTTGGGTGAGGTGATACCAATGGTTGGTTGAGGTAATACCAATAGTGGGGTGAGGTAATACCAATAGTGGGGTGAGGTAATACCAATATTTGGGTGAGATCATACCAATAGTAGGGTGAGGTAATGCGAACAGTGGGGTGAGGTTAAACCCAATAGTTGGGTGAGGTAATACCAATAGTGGGATGAGGTAATACCAATAGTGGGATGAGGTAATGCCAATAGTCGGGTGAGGTAATACCAATAGTCGGGTGAGGTAATACCAATAGTGGGGTGTGGTAATGCCAACAGTGGGGTGTGGTAATATCACTAGTGGGGTAAGATATTAGGAACATTGGGTGAGGTAATACCAACAGTGGGGTGAGGTAATAATGCCAATGGTGGGATGAAATGATATAGTGGGATGAGGGAGAGTAATGTAATGATGGGGTGAAATTAATGCCAATAGTGTGATGAGGTAATGCCCAGTAGTGCGGTGGGGTAATGCCCGTAGTGGGGTGAGGTGATGCCAATAGTGGGATGAGGGTAATACCAACAATTAGGGTAGAGGAGTCATGCCAATAGTAGGGGTGAGCTAATGCACCAATAGTGCTGGGATGAGGTAATACCAATAGTGGGGGTGAGGTAATGCCAATAGTGGGATGATGAGTAATGCCAATAGTGGGGTGAGGTAATGCCAATAGTGGGAGGTTAGGTGATGCAATAATTGGGAAGAGTAATGCTAATAGTGGGTGAAATTAATGTAATAGTCGGATGAAGTGATGCCAATAGTGGGGGTGAGGTAATGCCAATAGTGAGGTGAGGAGGGGTAATGCCAATAGTTAGGTAGAGGTAATGCCAATAGTGGGATGGGAGTAATTTCCGTAGTCAGGTGAGGTAATGCCAGGTGGGATGAGGTTATGCCAACAGTGGGGTGAGGTAATGCCAACGTGGGGTGAGGTAATGCCAGCAGTGTGTTGAGGTAATACCAACAGTCGGGTGAAGTGCATGCTAATAGTGGGGTGAGTGAAATGCAAATAGTGGGGGTGAGGTAATGCCAATGGTGGGACAGAGTAATGCCAATGGTGAGGGTGAGAGGTAATGCAATATGAGTGGGGGTGGTATGCCAATAGTCGGATGAAGTGATGCCAATAGTGGGATGAGAGTATTGCCAATAGTGGGGTGAATTAATGCCAATAGTGGGATGAGGTTATACCAACAGGGGTGAGGTAATGCCAATAGTGGGATGAGAGGTGATTCCAATAGTCGGGTGAGGTAACACCCAGCAGTGGGATGAGGAGTTATGCCAACAGGAACCAACCGGGTTCAATTCCCCACATGAGTACAATGTGTGAAGCCCTGGTGTCCCCCGCCGTGATATTGCTGGAATATTGCTAAAGGCGACGTAAAACCATACTCACTCACTCAACAATGTGCAGTACTGGAGACTGATCATCCTCAGACTCACTCACTCACTATGATATATATTACCGCCTCAGTGGTTTAGTGGATAGAGTCAATTCCCGGAGAGGGGAAGTTCGGAGGTTAGATTCCCGGCCTCGTCATACCGTTAACTCATGTCACTTTGTTCTTACCTTCACTCATACCGTTAACTCATGTCACTTGTTCTTACCTTGCCTGTGTGAGGCATTGCCAGAATGAGACGAGGAATAGTCACCTCGCAGTCAGTACAGTGTGAGAGGAGTTTCCATGTTTTCGACATTTTATTCCAGTGTATGTACAGGTTAATCACCGTTACAAGGTAGTTATCTAAATAAACTCTGCGAGGACTTTAGCCCGAGCAGAGTTTTTTAAGTAACTACCGTAGTGAGGGCGATTAAACGGCTTACACCACGAGGGCATACTTATTAAATACGCGTGTAATGTATTAGGCATGATGAAGATTATCAAAATAAGTACAATTTCATTGTTTTTAAATTAAAAATAATTGGCCTAGGCAGTTATTCAGTTATGCTAATAAAACACTTCCAAGAACAATTGGCATAACTTTCCCTAGTGGTTTAATCGACATGTATTCCTCTGAGTAGTCTGGTGTATGTAGGGGCGGTGAGGTAGGCAGGTGATTAAAGCGTTCACGTACCTGTGAGTTAACACAGTTTCGAACAGTACTTCAGTTTTACTTTGCTTTTTGCGAAAACCTGTTATGATCATTATTTCATCGTGCTTGATAAATAGATAATCTCACCCTCGTGTATACTGATATCAAATATATCAACACGAGTTGATAAAGTTACACATATCCGAGGCTTTCTAGGATAGTTTTACTTTATCAACGAGTGTTGATATATTTGATATCTGTAGACACGAGGGTGATATTCTATTTATCATTAAAAATCACTCTTCATTAGTTTTGAATGCACAAATGTACATCTCTGAACACGGTTCTGCCATTAGACGTGCAGTGCAGCGATGTCATAGCATTGTGACGTCATCAAGTATATGACGTGATAGCTTTGTGAGTCATGTAATTGATGATGCCAGGGCATTGTACAAATTCTACTGTCAAAACGTACATATCGTATCTCATACGAGATATCGTTTGATCTCACGCAAGCAATTTTCTCCAGTGGAACAGAGTTTTGGATGATAAACTCATGCTTATTATATAGTTGATATAGTTGGACTCGTACAGTTAAGTGGGATCTACTAAAAGAGATTTCTTGTAGTACCACGAGACAGAGGATGACACACAGTGTAGTTGTGTGACAACAAACGGGTCCTTATTGTTGTAGGTGTAGGTTTCGACGTACTCGTTGCAGCTGCCATGGCCGGCGGGCAAGTCGGTGGCCCGGATGTAGGGTAGACATGCATGTCGCCTATAGTATTTAGAAACGACGCAACATTAATCTACTTTAGGAAAAGGACATGGAATGCGGTTAAGGGAAACAATGATAAAGAAGTTCAAGGACTAATACTGGAATGTTACAAAAATATTGATGTCGTCTTTAGAGTATGTCTGTACATGCATTTCAAGTCTTCTCTCTCTCCTCCAGTCTAGTCAAATGATACCCGATAGTCTAAAAATATTATAATAAACACGTCATTACACACCATTATAATACATACACTAATAATTAGTAAAAGTCCATTACAAAACATGTTTCACAGACCTACGATAAAGACACATGGTTACATACTCAAAACAGATAACAGAGTTATATTTACAGACTTACAAAAACATATACTGTGACATACTAATCATTAATAATACGTCTTTTACAAATAACATATACTGTGGTATACTAATTACATAACACGCATTTACAGACTTATAAAAACATGTACTGTGACATACTAATTATAAATAACACGTCTTTTAAAGAAGTCTGTGACATACTAAACCCTGAAACAATTATATGTGGTATACAAGAAAGCCCATGCAAGTCTAGAAATAACAAGATCCTAGAGTTTCTTTTTACATAACATATATATTGACATACTTTACTAACACGCAACTTAAGACTTATAAAAACATGTGAATATAACATGCATTTACAGACTTATAAAAATAGATACTAATTATAAATAACACGTTTTAAATAGTCTGTCATACAAACTATGCAAGTCTAGAATAATCTCAGGGTTCCTTTTCACATTATTTACTATGAACTAATTTTTTCTGTGAAATAACATGCATTTACAGACTTATAAAAAGATACCGTGTAAATGTATACATATTACTTACATGTAGTTAGTGGCCATAATAAAAACCGTTATACATTATTACTTACATGTAGTTAGTGGCCCATGTTTACATACTTATGACAGCTCAAATGTTTGTACAAACCAAGTATTTTCAGTACTGAGTTAAGTAACATTTAAAGTTCCTGTAACATTCATAATGGATATCAGTATTCATTTTAAGGTTTTTATATTGCTGTCCTTCCACATGGCCCGAATTATGTTTTTGCATTCAAAAGTTTTGAGTTTTGACGCATGCCCTCGTCATCCTGTACTCAATGTGTTAGATAAACGTTATACCACAGTGGTACCATCTTTATGACCTACTGCGCATGTCAACAGAAAAGAGCTGGAAGAAGTGCAAGAAACCGGGTCAGATCCGGAACGGCCAAGTCGTGGTGTGGGGAGATGGACTGCTCCTTGAGTACATCTGCGACAAGAGCTTCTTCGCCTATGGCCTCACCCACGGCGGGTGTGACCCCACAACTGGGAAATGGACGATTCTACCTCCTGTTTGTGTCGGTAAGTCAGATTCACACTCTCATCGTGAGGCTATAAATGACAAGTGCTATGTTTTACTTAGTTTCTATCATTGAAATATATATTCTGTCAAAAAGAAACGCAACCCCTGTCCTCAGATATGAAAAAATTCGTTTGAATGAAGTTATTGCTTCCAAACTAAATTTTATTCGAATGTATTGAAATGATACACGTAATTAATGAAGATTACCATCCAAACAACTGCATTTGTACGCATAAGTGTATTTTATTGCTTATTCCGTCACAACGCATGAAATGACCCTCATGGTGACTTCTGCACAAAAAACACATGCAAATCATGAAAATGGCAGTTAATGTAGGGGTGTATAAAAGCCCATGTGGTTCCGTATTATATTCATTCATTTGTCGCCGAAAAGCTGTGTTAAAAATGCCACGATTGAGTGCTGCTGACCGAAATATCGCCATTGGTCGTGTTCTGCCGGAGAAAGTTTTGGAACTGTTGCACGGCACCTAAATGTTCACAAAACAACGATATCCCGACTTTGGAGCCGCTACAACAACTTCAATTTGACCAACGATCGCCCGAGAAGTGGAAGGCCAAGAATCACGACCCCTTCAAGATCGGTACATCCGGGTCCATCACCTGCGTAATCGGCATGCCCTACCAACCGTGACTGCCACACAAATACCAGGTTTGAGGAGAGTGTCAGCTCAAACGATTAGGAACCGTCTGAAAGAAGCGGGTTTACGTGCCTGTAGACCAGTTGTTGGACCTGTACTACGCCCCTACATCGACGCCGACGACTCCAGGTGGTGCAACAACGTAAGGATACGGACTTTACAAAACTGGAGGCGAATCTGGTTTTCTGATGAATCACGTTTTCTTTGCAACGTCACGACGGAAGACAGCGTCTGTATAGGAGACGTCAGGAACGTTTTGCGCCCATCTGCGTCCGACAGGTGGACAGATTTGGCGGAGAAAGCGTCATGGTTTGGGGAACCATCTCATACAACCAGAAATCAGACTTGGTGATCGTTCCAGGAACCTGACAGCCCAACGTTACATCAACCACGTGTTAGAGCTTCACCTTCTCCCGATTATTGACCAACAGACACAGATTTTTCAACGGGACAACGCCCGGCCTCATACTGCACGTGCAACAATGAACTTTCTGCAGAATTCCAACGTCAATGTCTTGCCATGACCCTCTAAATCACCAGACTCCTCAACCCTATTGAACACCTGTGGATACTCTGATCGACGCGTACGTCAACGTCAGCCGCCGCCACAGACGCTGCAACAGCTCGCCGTTGCACTGCAGGAGGAGTGGAGAGCCATTCCCCAGGAAAGAATCCGGCGTCTTATCCGTTCTTGTCCAAGGAGATGCCGTGCAGTGATTGCAGCGCGTGGTGCTCTATACGAGATAATTGAGAAAGACGCCCCCTGGTGACAAACTGGTGTCTGTGAGATGACTTTGAAATGACAATTTTAAACATGCCCATCTGGGTTATTATTCTGCCAAATTTCAGACTTCTGTCTTAAATAATAACAATGCCGTGTCGTCCTAAAACTTCAGGATCAAAATCTCTAAAATACAGGGGTTGCGTTTCTTTGACAGAGTTTATATATTCCATAATTATATTTCAAACATGGGTCTGAGGAATAGGGTCAGCCGTAAAAAGTTGACTTAAACATATAACATTAGACCGTCCAGACAGAATGCTTTCTGTGGGATTTCACCGTCAATTTCCCCTTTCCCCTCTTTTTAAATTGAGAGAGTTGGCGAGCCACTAAAGTATTCGGGTTATATAACGGCGTGGTAGCCTGGAGGGGTAAGAAAGTCCAAACTGTGTACATGTCTTTGCTTTTACGACAGAACTTGAGGTGAAAACCCATCGAGCTCGGGTCTGGTCCTCACAGACCCAGCAACATTATCGGTGAGAACCGAGATTAGAACCAAGGTCATTGGATTCTGGTGTACCAAAGGAAGGCAACTCTGCACATCGAAATGCAATGTCTTAGATGAATGGGCCACTTGGCACCCGTTCTCTTTGATGGACGGCGCTTATGTTGGTTTTTAGGACCATTGTGAGTGAATGTGGTTTTACCACGTGAGTGTGGAGGACACCAGATATGGTTCCACACAGTGTACCCATGTAGGGAATAGAACCCAGGGCCTAGATTTTCGAAGCTCTCTTAGCGCTAAGATAGTCGTAAGTGCCATACATTAACATTAACTTACGACTATCTTAGCGCTAAGAGAGCTTCGAAAATATAAGCCCTAGACTTTAACCACTAGGATACCCGTCCGCCTCTTTGGTAACTTATAAGCTTAATCTAAATTTCTCTTCATGCTCACTAGTGATATGAATAACGTCACTGTCCATATTCATACTAATCTTACATCAAACATATACTTCAGATTCTAATTGATTGAGACTTCTGTTATTTTCCAATGTACCATGCTCACGTGTAAAGCACATTTCTTGTTACTTCCTCGACTTGCCGAACTGTTGGCAGTACATTTTTAACATATATACCACGATATTGTAACTCGAATTTACGATGTAAGACGGCATTCTCCGGATTTAAACGATATTTTCCGAATGAAATAGATCACGGAGAAGTTTGTTTGGTGATCTCTTCATTTCTTCCAGCGATAGTGAAATATGAACAAGATGGATGATTGCCGAACTGTCCTTACAAAACATACATGCATCCTCCTCGATGCCGGTGGACAACTTATTCTGTATGGTACTAAAACCAAAGCAGACATTCAAGCACATACGCCCGGGTATCACCTCAACATTACAGTTGTTGACACCAAGCGTCTCGAAACGGAAGACCATTTCCTGTCTTGCCGATAGCTTCAGAAACGAATGAAGGTCAAGGTCACAATATGGTTGCTCGAGAAAATATTGTTTGACGTTGTAGCGGAAAGAGACCCCAAAATAGTTCTCTTTAATGGTATTTGAGGATCACACTATATAAAGGCAGCTGTTAGGGATAACGCAGGATCCACTGATGGACGGGTAGGTAGTATCATAGTCACACCGGGCCTGTAATTGGCAGTAGAAGATGGCTGACAAATCACGTGACAAACCACATGACAGGTTATGGGCGTTAGGGGTATGTATACCGGGTACCAAAAGAATCTGTTAATGTGATAAAATCACAGTTTCTTACGTGCCTAGTGTAATTTATCGCATCAGTGGATTGTAAAATACTTATGACAAATAAAGGTTATCGGATATGAAGCAGAAAAACATTACGAGATTCACCAATATTTCACCAAGGAGACAGAGAACATGTATTAAAGGGAAACAAACTGCGAATTGTTTTTTCATTGCATCATTAAACTTCAGCTAATGTATACAAAACAACCACAACCGCAAATTGCATACAATACATGTATAAAATAATTACTACTCCCTTATTAAAGAAATTGTCATCCATTTTTTATCGCATAAGCCCTGCACTTCTGTATTTGTCGTCATTCACATGATGCTCAGTTCATGCCATTATTGTAAACATTAATTAGTGGTGACAACACTTGGATTACCTAGACTCGATAAAGTTTAACCGTGTCTCTGAGGGTGTCAAGGGTATATAGCAATCAGTGGTTCGTATTTAGTATTTCTGACTATTTCATTTCTGCTGCAACTTTTCAATTGGGTTATAAAAGGGTTGATGTGGTGAATGTATTACATGCTATGTAATATGCACTTGGCAGCTCAGGAAGAAGAAATGAATGGCCAGTTGTGTTACGAACCACTCCAATAAAAGATTTAATCGATAATGCGTTGATTGTTTTATCACTGCTATCTTGCTCAGTGGATTTGTTCCTATATCTGTAGGCTTTCTAAAGCACACTGGAATACACTCACATCTCGGCGTTGATTGACTGATGTCGAACTGAACAAATGTTTTTGAAGGACATGGATATCATGAAGATCGCTCTCAGTGGATATCATGAAGATCGCTCTCAGTGAATATCATGAAGATCGCTCTCAGTGGATATCATGAAGATCGGTGGATATCATGAAGATCGCTCTCAGTGGATATCATGAAGATCGGTGGATATCATGAAGATCGCTCTCAGTGGATATCATGGAGATCGCTCTCAGTGGATATCATGAAGATCGATCTCAGTGGATATCATGAACGTCGATCTCAGTGGATATCATGAAGATCGCTCTCAGTGGATATCATGAACATCGCTCTCAGTGGATATCATGAACATCGCCCTCAGTGGATATCATGAACATCTATCTAAATGGATATCATGAAGATCGCTCTCAGTGGATATCATGAACATCGCTCTCAGTGGATATCATGAACATCTATCTAAATGGATATCAAGAAGATCCCTCTAAGTGGATATCATGAAGATCGCTCTCAGTGGATATCATGAACGTCGAGCTCAATGGATATCATGAACATCGCTCTCAGTGGATATCATGAACATCGCTCTCAGTGGATATCATGAACGTCGATCTCAGTGGATATCATGAACATCGCTCTCAGTGGATATCATGAAGATCGATCTCAGTGGATATCATGAACATCGCTCTCAGTGGATATCATGAACATCTATCTAAAAGGATATCATGAAGATCGATCTCAGTGGATATCATGAACATCGATCTCAGTGGATATCATGAACATCGATCTCAGTGGATATCATGAACGTCGATCTCAGTGGATATCATGAACGTCGATCTCAGTGGATATCATGAACATCGACCTCAGTGGATATCATGAACGTCGATCTCAGTGGATATCATGAACGTCGATCTCAGTGGATATCATGAACATCGATCCTCAGTGGATATCATGAACGTCGATCTCAGTGGATATCATGAACATCGATCTCAGTGGATATCATGAACATCGATCTCAGTGGATATCATGAACGTCGATCTCAGTGGATATCATGAACGTCGATCTCAGTGGATATCATGAACATCGATCTCAGTGGATATCATGAACGTCGATCTCAGTGGATATCATGAACATCGCTCTCAGTGGATATCATGAACATCGCTCTCAGTGGATATCATGAACGTCGATCTCAGTGGATATCATGAACATCGACCTCAGTGGATATCATGAACGTCGATCTCAGTGGATATCATGAACATCGATCTCAGTGGATATCATGAACATCGATCTCAGTGGATATCATGAACGTCGATCTCAGTGGATATCATGAACGTCGATCTCAGTGGATATCATGAACATCTATCTCATCTGACCAATGGGACATGAAATCCATATGGAACAAGACAAACAATCAGTTGAGTGACCAACACGGGTTTAGATATTTTGAAACATCACATTGTTACAAAGAAAGTGACTCGAACAAGTTTCCTTGTACATCTTTCGATGTACGAGACATTGCTCCTATGTGTGGATACTGATGGTTTAATTACTCGAACAAGGTAACAGTCTGATATTATACTAATCTCATTTTAATATGTAATTAGGTTTTTGAATTTTGCTTTCATTCATTTGCTGAACGCGTAAGGGGTGATCAAACTGTCCCATACCAAAGCGCTATTATCCTATTAAATATATTTAGTAAAAGCTGCAACCAAAATAACTCGATATCGAATCTATAATTTCTGACAAAATTCCATTCGGCCACTGAACCAACATATATAAAGTTACATTATAGGGAATTTGTAACCGAATCTGGGGTATATTTTTGAACAATATGCGTGAGACTGATTGTTTCCGGCCTCGTTTGCTAGAACATACACACAGTACTTTTTATATCTGCGTAAAAATTATGCCTAGCAGAACAGAAAGGAAAATTCCAATTGTAAATCATCACGTCCAGTTATAATTTATCTCAGATTTCACATTTTATTGGCCAGGTTTGTTATCAGCACCTAAAGGGATACTGCGAGCTTGTTTAAACTGTGCTCTAGACGGATGTTCACCGATAGCTTCACACTTTATAGGACCGCCTCCGTGGTGTAGTGGTTAGAGCGTCCGCCCGGGGGGCGGAAGGTCGCGGGTTCGATCCCCGACCGCGTCATACCTAAAGACGTTAAAATATGGTACTTGTTGGTCCCTGCCTGGCGTTCGGCATTAATGGGTACATCAAGGACTGGTCGGCTCGGAGTCAGTATAATGTGTCTGAGTCGGGTATTCATGCTTCACTGCGGCATGGTATCTCAGTGGGCTAGCACTATAAAACCAGCTTAAGTCTGGGCTGGTACAAGCAGCCGCACATACACATACACACGCATGCACGTCGTCATATGAGCGAAATATTCTCAAGCACGACGTTAAACCCAATTTCACCTCACCTCACCTCACACTTTATAGATAAATCTTGTATGCATTAATCAACAACAAAAACACATGTCAGTTTGACTGCGTCTGTATGGTATATCCTTGTCCGATAAACAGCTCCTCATTCCTTAGATTCTCCCATATGTGTAGCGAGAATAGTACTGAACACAAATTATAATTGTCGAAAGTTCATAACAAGCAAATTTGTAATCTGCAAAGAAACAACCGCTCCATATTTCGACGCTTATTATTATTAATATTATTATATGGGTATTTACATCATAAGTTGCTCACTGGTCTCGAGGGGGACATGGGCTGTTATCTTGCCTCACACATAAATGTCGTTTTCTGATTGGCTGAGCGCTCTTCTATTATTTTCAATGTACCCCGCTTACAAGCGAGTAACATTTTTTATGTATCCCGCTGGGAATGCCGAACTCATTTGGTACTTCGTAGTAGTAATTCTTTATCTTGAATAACATTGAATCACGTATGATGTACGGAAATTACCGATGTTTCGAAAGCATATCTATGGAAGGGAGATAACTCTAAATTTGTTTTTATTGTCGTCTGGTACTCCATACTACGATCCGATACTCGTGCTTCAAACAGTTCAAAATTACCATTGAGGTGTTCGGTAAGATAAATACGTTGTTCATTGGTCCCTCGGTGCCCATTGGTTGATGTACCCTCGATGTTTGTTTATGTTCCCTGAACCCTTCGGGGTTATCTTTCCTTGGTAATAGTACTAGAATACTTTCATCTCCATGCCCGTTTGCGCTTAGACAGGGCCCAGTCGTAAACATGGACACGAGAAGGGTACGAGACGCCATCCGGCTTGCCGGAAGGACACGAGTAGTTACGAATGTCCCAGCGGGGTACACAAAAAGGTTACTGTTACTCGCTTGTAACTTGTAAGCGGGGTACATTGAAAATAATAGAAGAGCGCTCAGTCAATCAGAAAACGACATTTATGTGTGAGGCAAGATAAAGCGCTATATTCCTCCCCCATGCATGCTCAAAGCGCTTTGTTTTCCCCTCGATCATTGAATGTCAATCTCAGCGGCACATCATATTATCAATCTCAACCCCCACTATAAAATGTGACTTGCCCATCCTTTCGAGGTACCCATTCACAGCTGGGTGGACAGGGACACATAGTCACAGTACTTTGCCCATGTTTACTGCACGTTGTTGTACCCGCAACTAGGTGTTTGCACGTATTCATGTGACCACCATCTGGTCATTTACCAACGGATTCGTGGGTTCTTTGCAGATTCTGATACCTTTCGGTATGGACTTACCGAAACAAATCGTCAAAAATGCAAATTCAACTTATAAAGTTGAAAAATAACGCGATGAAAAAAACCGCGCGAAATCGTAGTTCAAACGATTCACTAATTTTCCCCCAGCGCTTGGGGGAATTGAAGTGGTTTCAACAGCTGGGCTGCGCTCATAGCACATGCGCAGTGAAATAGAATCGCGCAGCTTGAAAGCGGGTTGTCCGGTGAATACTCGGTGAAGGCTTTGGTGTGAGCTATTTTTCTAATGTTTTGTTGATATTTCACAGGCGCGAGCTTTTTATATGTTATTACAGTAGATTACCGATTTGACTGTTTATATAATTTCATTTGTCTATTTCACCACACGTTCTTCTTAACGTGTCACTTTCTCAGTTCGATACTTAAAAGCAATGTCATTATTTAGCGTTGACAGAATTTCTAACTGTGATATAGATATGTCGTTGTCACAGACAAAACTCAATGTCTGTTTTATTGACACCTATGTGTCTGCCTGCCCGTCTGCTAATGACAATATTCAATACACAACTTCGATCACTGACCACATGCAATTTGAACTTAACACCTATCAGGCTATACACCATAAACAAAACGCATTGATTTATGGCCCGAGTTCGGTCTCTGTCACATTATGTAATTACACAGACAGGCAGGTGTGATACTTGTATACATGACATGTTATGATGTCTGTTGATTGAAAAATGTTATACACAAAAAATGAGCATGTCTTTACAAAACCCAACATCTCTATATGTACACACACAATGAGCCGTGCAAATGAACCAGCCGTTACACTTCAGTGCACACCCACCCGCTCTGACTGCGTTCGGTATCCCGGCTGTTTCGTTTTTTGGGAAGTAAACCCAAGTACAAAATATTGCACTTTTGATTTGCGATTGTACGCTTATAATTTTGTTTATATGTTTTTTCATAACCAGCAATGTATATATATGTCATGAATAAGTGATAATTGTGTTTTAATTATGTTTGATTTTTCGGTTGCATGTGACCTTTAAGTGCACAGGGTTGTGTACTGTACACTTGGGGTTGTGGCAACACTGAAAGAGCACACAAAGTTGACTCCAAGGTGTTTACACCCGGTCACATGTGGGCTAGATCCCGGCACCTCAAGCTCGCTGGATTACTAGCCTGGCGCCTCAGACAGCTCGCCCACCACGCTTTCTAAGTTGGAGTTTTTTCTCCCTTTAAGAAGGATAGCGCAGGTCAACTGACAGTGCAAGTTAGTCATTCACAATCCTCTTTAAAAGTCTGCTGACATTTCTAAGGTTAGAATGGTGTCTCATTCACACTCGGCTGTCGTGACATCTAGTCATAGGCACCAGGTCGTTCAGATGATCTCGCCTTTAAGGTCGCAGTGGAGGAAAGGATCATCTTCAATTGCGGGTACTTTATTGCAAGTATCTTTAATCAAGTAGTTTGTATCAAAACCTTGTATTCCTTGTATTCCAGCCAGTGGCTGTCCAGAGTTGCTCCCGCCTCGTCACGGCGTGGTGAACATCGACAACAACGGCGGTGTCGCCACTTTTACATGCAAAGCCGGCTACTACGTCCTCGGTTCTGCCAAACTCTACTGCGAAGAAGGACGCTGGAGGGGCAGGTTCCCCTTCTGTGCAGGTATGTTGGGGGCAGGTTCGCCTTCTGTGCAGGTATGTTGGGGGCAGGTTCCCCTTCTGTGCAGGTATGTTGGGGGCAGGTTCCCCTTCTGTGCAGGTATGTTGGGGGCAGGTTCCCCTTCTGTACAGGTGTGTTGGACATATGCTTCCCTTCTGTTAACCCCGTGAAGATCCGGGTTAAAATTGATCTCTAGCAACCCATACTTGTAAAAGCCGACAAACGGGATCGGGTGGTCAGGCTCGCTGACTTGGTTGACACATGCCATCGTATCCTAAATGCGCAGATCGATGCTCATGCTGTTGCTCACTGGATTGTCTGGTCCAGACTCGATGATTTACAGACCGCCGCCATATAGCTGGAATATTGCTGAGTGTGGCGTTAAACAACAAACCAACCGACCCTTCTGTTCAGGTATGTTGGGAAAAAGTTCCCCTTGTTTGAAAGTATACTTTGACAGGCTTTCCTGTACAGGTGTGTCGGCGCAGGTTCCCCATTGTTTTTGTAGATTGGACGTGGATGTTCACATGGATGTCCACGTGCATGTTCACATGCATAACCATGTGTCTAGAGACATGTATGTCTACATGTTTGTCTACGTGTGAGTTGACTGAATGTGTGTGGCTCTACACGGTGGGCGGATGTTTCTTCATGCCATCAATCACTGCCTTGCCCAGACTGGAGGCCTCTTCTAGAGCAGCTATATTACTGCTTGTTTTAGTTTCTTTGTTGTTTAACGCCGCACTCAACAATATTACAGCTGTATGGCGGTGGTCTGTAAATAATGGACCAAACAATCCAGTGATTGAGCATCGATCTACTCAATTGGGATACGATAACATGTGTCGGTGAATACCAATTCTAACCCGGGTCTTCACGGGTCACTTTAGTGTTACACATCAATGGCTCGCGTGTTGTATAATATGGGTGTTAATTATGAAATTACAAAAGACAACTACAACTTACTTTCTGCAGTGAGCGCCAAATCACGGCCGACAAAACCTCCCCCGACTGGAGTCCCCAGAGCAGCCCTGCGTCACTCGGACGAGTCATGCTTCCAGTACCAGATCGACCCACCGACGGTGGAGAACGCCGTGTACACTACGTCGTACGTGTTCAGCAAGTTCCGAGGTCGGTACATCATGATCGCCACATACAGCTGTGTGGGTGGGTACAAGCTGTCTGACCCCAGCTCAACCAACCTCTACTGTCACAACTCAAGGTGGGGGGCAAGGATCAGGCCCAAGTGTGTCCTCGGTAGGTATATCACTGCATTCTAAAATACATGTAAATGAGCATATCATATACTGCACTGTGAACTATGTAAACATATCGTATACTGCACAGTGAACTATGTAAACATATCGTATACTGCACAGTGAACTATGTAAACATATCGTACACTGCACAGTGAATTACAGACAAGAAACGTACCGATTACAATGTATTTAAAAACATGCAGCAAATTTCACAGTTTTACCACATATGAATTTGTTTACTTATTGCTTATAACATTTATGATTGATTGTTCAATGGACCTTTTGTAACAGATCAATGGCGAGATGTATTTGAAGCACTACATTTCGTCATGAGTCGTATTTTGCTAAGTTTACCTTTGCTTCACGTGCAGTGTATCACAATAAAGTATGCATGTTTGACTATTCAAATGTACTGACGTCTTCTGATGGCATCAGTTGCAAAGACAAACAAACTTCAGTTTAGTTACAGTATTGTAACATATATATGTAATACTTTTATATGTATGTTTTTATATTTTTTATCAGTGTATATTTTCAAATATTAAGTGTGTGGATGAAATACTGTATATATCTCCCCACAGAGGACGATCCGTGCCAGAACGGCAATGGAGGATGCTCGCACATGTGCGTGTCTCGAATTGGTCGATACTCCTGCACGTGCAGAGTTGGGTACTCCCTCGGATCAGACTTCCGGTCCTGTTTTGGTGAGTAGATTGCTAAAACACTTCATAGGGTGAAGAAACAACGGCAGACATTTAGTTCATGAAATAGAGTTACCCTATTAAAAAAACTTTTAAGAATAATACTGATGACTGGTTTGGTTTTACGCCGCTTTTTAAACAACGGCAACATCACGGCGGGGACACCATTAATGTTCATGTACCCATAGAGTTCGACCCTCTTAAAAAACTTTAAACCACTAGTCCCACCGCCCTTTAAGAATAATACGGATTTACTCAAGAACAATCCTGAATGTCAGGCCAACCAAAGACAATCTAGACTTGCCAAATGGTTCTATGTATCTTGCCAAATGTCTACATAGACATGCGTGTGTGTCTGTGATTTTCTTGTGTTATTACACGTGTGTGTGTGAGGGTGTCTCAGAACTGAATTGATTATAAAGTAAATTACGGCTATAATATTTTTATAATATTTTTTTTTCATTATGTGCATTTTGACTAAACCTTGCAGTTAGTGGCCGTGGCGGACAACAACACCGTACGTTGCATCCGTCCGTTCGATAGAAGCATCTTCGTTATAAAAGTAGTTAACTGCATAAAGGATGAATTTCATTCTTAACGTAAAAACCTTCCATTCACATATAATACATGAAATACATTGTTAACTTACCCAGATTTAGAATAGACACAAGTAGCAGTAAAAGTATGGAATGAAACCCTAACTAAAACGAAAAAACAATTGTTTATTTGTTTGATAAGTTACTGGTGTATTACTCAGTAAATACAGAAAACGTTTAGACGGTTGATTGTTAAAAATTCTAGATGCACTGAGTAATTAAATGGCTTTGATTAATATTAGAAATGTAGAAATAAAATATATCTAATCTGTGAAACTGGGTTATATTTCCATTAGGCAATCTTATCAAGTTGCTTTATCATTTTAGGGCACTAATAAAGGTATTTCAATGTAGAGCCGGGTATTCCAAAAAGTCCGATCGGTAACCTAACATAACTGTATTCCCTGGACTTCATCAATCGCTACATGAAATAGGATTTCTAAGTTTAACTTTCCTAAAGAAATGCAAATAGGGCGTTCGACGCGTTAATGGGGTACAGGCAACGAGAATGGGATTGTTTTGATTGAGTTATTCGCGCCAAACCTGCTGCTTAATCCGGGGACCCTGGGTCATGGGTCAATGCCTCGATCTGTCAGACCAGTGATAACCGGATGCAGTTTCCTGAGAAAATAATGCACGTGACAGGTGGCGTGCAGGGATATATTTTGTGTAACACCTGTGGCTTTTGTCGGCAATTGTAAATTAGATGCTACATAAATAAAGTCACCTACTCCCCCCTAGAACATGTATCGACAGAAACTCATTTACAGTGAATGACAAGTCGTATTCAATATATATCGCTGGTATATACCGTGAAACATGTGTAACACAATGTCATTCGGCAGCGTGGATCCAGACAACAATCACCTGTATCCCTGCAAAAAGTAGTTCCTCAACTGGAGAGTTAACATGAACGTATGTATACTCAGATTGCTCTTCAAGAACATCTTTTCTGGCTGGTTAAAACAATCAGATTGCAAAAATATAGAACCCATGAAGATCCCGGTCAGAATTGGCCACCACCAATCTATGCTTGTCTTAAGGTCGGGTGGTCAGGCTTGCTGACTCGATTGATCGTTAACTAAATTGCTGTTCTGAATATTTCATAATAGGATCAGATTTATATTCCAAGGTCGGTGGAATCGCCTAGTGGTTTACAGAGGCCCAGATAAGCTGCGTATCCGGGTAAAATACGCATAGAAAATTTCCAATTACGCATCGAAAAAATAATTGTTGCGTACCAATTATGCATTTAAAATGTTAGATACGCAAAAAGTTTAAAACAAATGCGTACAGAATATATTTATAAAAATCGCTTGCGTAATGAAAAAGACATCGATTGCTATCAAGTTGTACTGTTAGTATAGCACAAATGTTGTACTGTCAGTATAGGATGAGTGATTTTTTATGAAATCATTTCCATTATATTAAAGTTGGTTTTGATTAGGTATGACATAAGGCAGAACATACCTGCTTAGTAAACTTACTCAATGACATATACTTAGGTGAGTAAAATGACTGAAATACGCACATATTTGAAAGCAGTGGGTAACGGAAAATGAAATACCCACTCAACATTCATAATGCCCACTCCAAAAGAATACAGTGGGTACAGTACCCACATGAGCTAAATCTTATCTGGAGCTCTGCCGGTTTAATGAGGCGTTCGCTCGTCAGGTGGGGTAGCCTAATGGTTAAAGCGTTGGCTCGTCACGCCGAAGACCCGGGTTCGATTCCCCACATGGACACATTGTGTGAAGCCCATTTCTCATGTCCCCCGGCGTGATATTGCTGGAATATTGCTAAAAGCGGCGTAAAACCAAACTCTCTCACTCACTCCAAGACATACATGGCATCAATTACCTGAAACATACAGTTCAGCCTTGTTAATCCGAACTGTGATAATCCGGATTAAAAGATATCCGGATTAACAATGATATATAATCATTCCCAGTAGCAACCATCCGGTTTGAGGGACTTCCGGGACAGGGGTCGGATTAGAAAGGTGACACTGTACATCATTTCAATGTTTGTTTCAGATCTGAATGAGTGTATCCTCGAGAATGGCGGATGTGCACATGACTGCCACAACACCATAGGGTCATTCTTCTGCTCGTGTGGTCCGGGTTTCCTCGTGAATGGAAAGGGCTGTGTAGGTAAGCGTGGGCGATTATATCACTAGTTAGAACCGGTTCTACACCTTTGTGGCTGTACACTCAAGGACATGTTCGTTATAGTAAACATTTCCATGAGGTATACCTCGCCTAAAGTAGATGACAAAAAGCGTTAGATCGCTGACTTTCTGTGCTTGAAATTAGGTGTCTCACTCTGAGAGTCTGGGTTCGAATCCCGAATGGGACTCAACCTAAAAGAGTACCATATATTTTCTACTGGAAAGTGAAATCCGAAATAAGTTAGATAACAAAGTACAATGAATTTTGGTTAACATACAGATTTACACCATGGAAGTTATGAAATGTTAAGGATGAAACTCCCATAGCAGAATATTTTACTGAAAGGCCGGACTATTGCGAAACCTGTTTTAGGAATCCGCTGACACACACACACACACGCACGCACGCACGCACGCACGCACGCACGCACGCACTCACACACACACTCACACACAGACAAAGAAATGCGAAGAGAAAAAAGGAAATTCTTAGGAACTTTCAATTCCGCCCAGCAACAATACGTAAAACTATTTTTTTAAATTACTTACTTTACTGTCGCTATCAATAAATATACACTATGATTTTAAAATACTGCAATATATATTGCAGCCAAAACAGCCAAACAGCTGTACATAAGACCTTTCCTCCCATTGCTATTTTCTCCCTACCTCCTCTGCCCTGCGACGTGAACTCTTTACTTTACTTATCCAGACTAGATTATAAAGACAGTCTTTCAACATTTGTTTTATAATTTATAACTTTTATTTAAAACGCGACTTACTTCTAACCAAAACAAACAAATGAATATTTAATTTGATCAGGCCAGTTGCGGTGTTTGTAGTCCTGTTGTTTATGTGTACCTTGTTTGTAGGACTTGATGTAATGGTAGTTCTGGTACCTGACATGGAGGGGAGTTTTACGGATTTTTTGACAGGGAAAAATTTGTGTATGGAACAGAAAAATTCTGACAATTTCGTGATTTTTTATGCTCTATAACTGTAAAACACCCGAATTTAAATAAACACCAAAAATGAATAGTGATCAACGACAACAAAACTAATATCACTTTGAATTCAGAGAAGGTGCCAACCCCACCTCCCGATAAGGCTTTGGAAGCCTCGTTATACGGTGATGTGAATTCAGTGTGACCTTGAATTTGTAATGGTTGCTTTTAGGACCCGTAGCCGAGTCCAACGTCTACTCCTCGATGTTTTCCGCGATACATACTTGGCGGCACTCAAGATTATTTTTGTACATCGTTCCGCCCGGAAATCAACAGTCCAATTTTAAGCAAATACGAATTCAGAGTTGCCTCCCTTTAGAGGATTGTTTCATTCGTTGACAAATAAGAAAACGATTACAGAGTTGAAACAGTCGTCAAGCAGGCATATTGATGCATATTTTGAATGATTGCACTTGCGTAACATAAACGTCTTCAGAATGGGGCGGCTGTGGGTTGGAGGGTTAGGAAGGAAACAGCAAAGAATTTCTGCTAGATTTACATGAGGATTGATGGCTCAATATTTTACCCTTTACATCATATCTGGGTTGCCCGTTGTGTACATCACCGCCAATCCGAGTTGTGCCCCTTACCCGTGCCAGGACTCTCTGGGTTCGAATCCTACGTTCGCGTTGATTTTCTTTACACTTCTATAATGACCGTGTCGGTGTTCTTAGGTTCACAGACCGCCTCCGTGGTGTAGTGGTTAGAGCGTCCGCCCGGAGAGCGGAAGGTCGCGGGTTCGATCCCCGACCGCGTCATACCAAAAGACGTTAAAATATGGTACTTGTTGGTCCCTGCCTGGCGTTCGGCATTAATGGGTACAACAAGGACTGGTCGGCTCGGAGTCCGTATAATGTGTCTGAGTGGGGTATTCATGCTTCACTGCGGCATGGTATCTCAGTCGGCTAGCACTATAAAACCAGCTTAAGTCTGGGCTAGTACAAGCAGCCGTACATACACATACACACGCATGCACGTCGTCATATGAGCGAAATATTCTCAAGCACGACGTTAAACCCAATTTCACCTCACCTCTTAGGTTCACATAACAGAACACAACAGTTTTTATTGTTGAAATCAGGAGTTCGAATATCGGTGGTTGCAGAAAATTGGTAAGAGTCATCACTTCCGGTTTTCCTCCAAGATTAAGCTGACACGTCCCTTACCGTAACACTGTTCACTCACTCATCCGGGACTCAATACACAAAACGTTCATAGCACTATCCCATTCATAAGCCTTTGATAAAGTGTAGAGTTACGACAGGTCGTAACGTTACCAAAGCTTTGTTGGATAGGGATCCTATAACACTGAGTTTAGCGCGTATTTGAAATGTTTGCGGTGATTTAAACCAACCCATGACATGGATGTTGAGTTTTCCCCCATGTGAGGTGAGGTTAAATCGAGATAATTGCTCTCCAAGTGTAGGAGTTCAGTATCACCTCAGCGTTACAACGGATTTCAAGTTTCTGGAACGTCTTTCTGACTGACTGACGTCCACCTCCGACGGCGTGACGCTTTGTCAACGTAATACAGCAATGCGTCCTTACAGCTGTCGGTGAGATTTGCGTTACGGAACAGTTGGTCATACAGTGTCAGTATATAGGGCCTTACCTAGAATCGTGCATTGCAGCATAAAAACAACAAATATCACTTCCTCATTGTCAGGTACCTGTACGAAACGTGTGTATTCCAAGAAATTGATATCTTTAATGAATTTACGGCGCCGGTAATTCCCAGAGCAAGGCTTTCCCCGTCTTCCTGGAAGTGTAAAGTCTGGCTTATGTCTATGTTTCAAAGGTAATAATGTTTTTGCAAGTCATCTGGGTCACGTGTTTGAATGGCGATCTCAACACGGACGTTCTTTACGGACATAAACGATAATTGTCCACGTGAAATGGTGGCGCCGCACGTGATCCTAAGTGTCACGTAAGGTAAAATTCTCAGAACATGCGTGCGACATTCTTAGTGACAATAATGACTTATTGCCACGTCTCTCACTCACATGCATGGGTTATACATTCGGCATGAGCTGAGAATTAAACATGAGTACATTTTATACGTTGACCAATAATACGTTTTAAGTAGAATAGGACTTCTATGTAAGTACACCTTAAATCAGTCTTTATTTACCATAACAGAGCCATTTATTTTTTACTAAACATAGTCGTCATGTCAACAGTTGATTTTGTTTAAATTTGAAACCCAGTGAGTGAGTATGGTTTTACGCCGCTTTTAGCAATCTACGGACACTATCACGGCGGGGGACACCAGAAATGGTCTTCACACATTGTACCCATGTAGGGAATCGAACCCGGGCCTTCGGCGTGGCGAACGAACTCTTTAACCACTAGGCTACCCCACCGCCCCTTTGAACAGTGTTTCACGTTTCTCACGGCACGTCAGCTTAATGGGAGAGCGACCCAAAAATATGTAGGTCTCAGGTTTCTACCACAGGCTGAAGCCCATTAGCACAGAACTACTTTAGTAGAACCGGGGCGAACCTTGATCCAACCCACAAGTTTGATGTTCCCAAGGGACGCAACTCTGCACAGCGAATTGCCGCGCCTTAAACGGCTGGGCCTTCCTTTGCGCAATGTTCCTGTTCAGACATTGTGACCATCCGATCCTTATTTCAGTCTTCAGTTATTCCAGCACTATCAAGGCGGGGGGACACCAGAAATGTTTGCGGTTACGCCAAGGCGCGGTCTGTAGGTTAGTCTCCGTTCCTGGTGTAAATCCCATACTTTAAGGTAGATTCATACAAAAGTTGTGATGCTTAATTGGGTCGTTTAATCCTCAGGGTGCCGCTGTACTAATCAACCTTAGCGCTACGCCAGTCTATGTTAAGGTATGGGACTTACGATCACCTGAGCCCTAGGATCCCTGTGTACAACGGCACCCTGAGCCTCAAGAGGCGCTGAAGAGTGTGTGAGTGAGTGAGGTTAGTTTTACGCCGCACTCAGCAATATTCAAGCTATATGGCGGCGGTCTGTAAATAATCGAGCCTGGACCAGACAATCCAGTGATCAACAGCATGAGCATCGATCTGCGCAATTTGGAACCGATGACATGTGTCAACCAAGCCAGCGAGCCTGACCACCCGGTCCCGTTAGTCGCCTCTTACGACAAGCATGGGTTACTGAAGGTTCATTCTAACCCGGACATTCACGGGTAGAGGCTCTTAAGAAAGCTAGTGAATGAGTACGATTTTACGCCGCTTTGAGCAATATTCCAGCTATAACGCGGCGGGGGACACCATACATTGGCTTCACACATATCATCTTCAGTACCCATCCCTGTGTAATCGCAGTGAGTGAGTGAGTTTTAAGTCCGCTTTAAACAGTGTTTTAGTTTTAAAAAGAGCATGCCACCTTAATATGGAAGAAAAGTCCAAACAGGGAACCGATCAAGACCGTGTAGTAGACTAACGCTTTGTTCCTGAAAATATGTAAGACACGATATGGATAGAAACAAACAGCTGAATTTAATTTAAAAAGGCGCCCCAGTGACAGGGGAGATTTAGGGGAAAATCTAGACTTGCTTTATTTAGGACTTTTTGCTTTACGGTAAAGGCTGGGCGGAAAGGAAATGGTTCAGGAAGAGACATACAAGCCATGGAGGCGTGACACTTTGGTTAAACAATTAAACGACCAGGCATGTACCGACCGACCAGTTGTCATAATCGGATTATATACAATAGATTATAAATAATAGCCTTCAAACTCTTAGCAAGCTAAAAGGAAGAGATGAGTTCCCGGTATTCTTACTATATCAAATATTTTGGGATTTTTTTCTTCCTTGTCAATATTGCTAAATCACGAAATCTTATTAAAATCAAAATGCAAAATTGTTGTTAGAGGCGGTTTGGAATGGGAACAAAATACGTCTATTTAAAAAATATATTATCCCAAACACATCATGGAAATGAATTAATTTTAACAAAATATGCCAACTTGACTCCTGAAATACAAAATTACGAAATCGTCATTTTTGCTTTTTAAATAAATTCGTTTTCCTTCCTCAAGCTGCGTCGGTGTTTCGTGAGTGCGATGCAGAAATGTCGGAAATTCAAAACACTAGTACTGAGTTTTGTCTGATACTTAAAATTTGAATTTCGACATCTGTTTGTTTTACAACTTCCAATGGGAGTTTTGTCCATTATTATAAGTTCAAGGTATGTATTACCAGCGACACGATGGTCGCAAACGACAGGCAATCCTCTAAGGTATATCAATCGATTGTCACCTGTTGTCAAAAGCGGTGTTATTGATTTCGTCTCCAGTTGGACTTCCTCAGTCGTTTGGAAATCTCACGGAATATCCCGAGCAATTCCGAAATGCCTACACTGGGGTCCCTGTGAGCTTTAGATAAGCATACCACAGCCCGAGACATGAGAGTGTTCCGTTCGGCTATCAGTTGAGTCCGGAAATAACGGTCGCGTTCAAGAGGTCGACGGGTCCTCCTTTCCCGCTTTTCAATAGGCTTTTCCCGGATATAAAATCTAACAGGCGAACCCACGGCTCATTCGACTGAAGGCAGCTGACGAAACAGTGACGGTAAGTAATGCTCCCTCCATAGTGTTTCCCCACAACATACTTGCTAAGGAATTCGTCCCAGTCTCACCACGTTTACGGATAAGCTGTGATCCGTGGATCTCTCGTGCGTCTTACAGCGCTACAGGAGACCGCGTTTAATCCGAATTGTCAAACCCTCGTTTTAACGCATTGTGTTTTAAATTGTGTTTCATTTAATATTGTATGTATGTATGGATTGTTTTGATGATTTGTTATATTTTCACCGCACTTTTAGTTTTGGATATCGATGCATGTGTCATTTCGCCGCAGGATTCCCCTTTGTTGTTACCCCCGAGCTCACCGCGTGCACACACAACTCTCACGGGTTGAAGCGAGGGCAGGAAACACAGGGTCACGTGACCTCATCAATTTCCAGGGCCGTGTAGATTAGAATTTCCGCTGGTCATGACAATTTTGTGTGCTATAGGAAAGGGTGGGCTTGCACAAGGCACTTACACACACATGTAGCAAAATGTCGATGGAAATTAATGTGGAACAAACCTACCTTCTCTAACATGGTTGTATAATATTTACACACGGATATGAAAATACCTGTTGATCGATGTGTTGCAATAAACTCGACACGCACGGCTTGTTTATGACAGTTCTAACTGTTGTTGACAGCTCAAGCGTGGAACTGGGCCATATTGCAAACTTTCCGAAAAATGTTTCACAATTCCTATAACTGCAACATCCAAAAATAAATTTAAAAATTCTCAGGTGAGCTGATTTGTGCAATTAGAGGTTATTAAACTATCTCAGGTGATGTCCATTGACGATAATATTGAAACGTGTTGGTTATTCTCTCTAATTAATGTCAATGGGGCGGTAGGGTAGCCTAGTGGTCAAAGCGTTCACTCGTCACGCTGAAGACCCAGGTTCTATTCCGAACATGGGTACAATGTGTGAAGCCCATTTCTGGTGTCCCCGCCGTGATATTGCTTGAGTATTGCTAAAAGCATACTCACTCACTAGTGTTAATGGTATTTTCGAACTATTAAGGTATGTATGATTCTAGAGATAGCGTGACGGGGTTGCAGTTGGGATGGGTGGATGGGACGCTTCTTTGTGGTGTAATACCGCTCCTAAATCTTCCACTAAGCTGATGCGTTTCTGCCAGGTGAGACGTGCAACAGGCGTGTCGGCCCAGTGTCTGTTCAGTGTAGCCTGATAGGTTTACACTGATCAAGCTGGTACGACTGATATATTGAGCTCATCGCCAGCAGTCGTATGTCACTCGTTTTCCCCGTAAAGGGGAAACGTATTAGCATTGAAATATGACTGTACAGCCACACTTCCTTCCCTCAGTGCGTCGGGCTGATTGTCGGTACACCCTCCACAGGAACTATATATAGAGTCACAGATTGTCCGGCTGTTGTCCAAAGTGATGTATATGTGAGTGAGTGAGTGAAGGCCTTTCAGGATATATCAGTATTTACTGAGTGAGTGAAAACTTCCCAGGGTATGTCAATAGTTAGTGAGTGAGTGAGGTCCTTTCGTGGCTATGTCAGTATTTAGTGAGCGAGTGAGTTTAGCGTTGCTATGCAGTGTTCCAGCTGGGATATTTTGGCATACAACTAAGTATTCTTGTCACATATTCGAAAACAATATCATCATCATTATTGACACAATAACTCATTATACATGTAAAACAATATACATTTTACTATCTAACTTTACTATCTAACTTTACTGTCTAACTTTACTATCTAACTTTACTGTCTAACTTTACTATCTAACTTTACTGTCTAACTTTACTGTCTAACTTTACTAACTTTACTGTCTAACTGTACTCTCTAACTTTACTATCTAACTTTACTGTCTAACTTTACTGTCTAACTTTACTCTCTAACTTTACTATCTAACTTTACTATCCCACTTTTCTGTCTAACTTTACTCTCTAACTTTACTATCTAACTTTACTGTCTAACTTTACTATCCCACTTTTCTGTCTAACTTTACTCTCTAACTTTACTATCTAACTTTACTCTAACTTTACTATCTAACTTTACTGTCTAACTTTACTATCTAACTTTACTGTCTAACTTTACTATCTAACGTTACTCTCTAACTTTACTGTCTAACTTTACTATGTAACTTTACTGTCTAACTTTACTTTCTAACTTTACTGTCTAACTTTACTATCTAACGTTACTCTCTAACTTTACTATCTAACTATATATCCACACAACTTTAAAGAAACAGTATTAAATGCGGTATAGCCTTTCAGAGTATCAGTAGCGTATCTGATGTCGGCCAAAGAAACCAGTACAAGTTGTATTTTCACACAGTGTTTATGATATGAAGGCATGACATTGTATTTTTAAACTTTGCAAACGGATTTATCATCATAACATAGTAATGGCCGATGCTTAAACATCTTGGCTATGATATAGTATGACCAGAAATTATTGAGAATTTTAGGAATATGTTTAATTGGATTTCTGGTATAAACAACCATGACCAGCTAGCAAGTGCTTGGTTTCATTCAAGAGACAATAATCCGTTAATCCTTTTTCATTAGTTTGTGAAGAGTTATCCCCCTTTGTTTACCTGCTAGCAGACGACATTTTCAGTGATCCCCAGTATGGATGATTTAGAGAAGAGGAAGTTGATTTTAGAGTATTATAACAAGGACATCAGATCAGCTACAGTGATTTCAAGGAGAACACGCACCCCTTTGTCCACTGTTTATCGTGTTTTGAAAAATATTGCAAATGGATATGGCATTGAGCACCAGGGAGGCGCAGGTAGGCCCAGAAAATTGACTGTCGGTGACAGGAGGCGGCTTGGTATTCTTGTTTCTAAAAACAAACGAAGGAGTTTAGAAAACTTAAGGCTTGATATGATTGATAGAGGAACTGTGGCTGTCTGTAAAGAGACAATTAGAACTGAGCTGCATGCAATGGGTTGGCAAAAAAGTCGAGGAATTCCATCACTGATCATGAAACCTGAACAAAAGGAGCGAAGGTTGAACTGGTGCTTACAGCATAGAAATTTTAACTGGGACAATGTGATTTTCTCAGATGAAAGTTTTGTGTGGCTGTTTCCTAATATACTGAAATTCTGGACCAAACAAACTGAAAAACCTTTGTATCAGCGCCCAAAGTACAGTCCGAAATTGAACGTGTGGGGTGGCATATCTGTGTTAGGGGCAACGCCCCTCTGTGTATTTGAAAGGAATATGAACAGTGAGCGGTACACAGATATTCTCGACGGACATTTACTTCCATCTGCTCACGTGTTCTATGGAATTCTTTGGATTTTCCAGCAGGCCAACGACCTAAAACATCGTTCAAAGCATTCACAGGCCTGGTTTCGGACCCAAAATATGACATTATTAGATTGGCCAAGCTATAGCCTGACCTAAATCCAATAGAAAATGTTTGGGGACTTATGAAGGAAAGTGTCAATAAGAAAAATCTGACAAATATTGCTGAAATGAAAGAAGAGGTGGTCCGATATTGGGACAGCATGGACCACGACTTTCTAACTTCTTTGATCAGTAGTATGCCCTGCCGCATTGAAGCCTGCATTGCTGTCCATGGTGACTTGACAAAATACTAACTGCTCACCTGTCTTTGAATCTGGAGTTATGTTCTGCTAATATTCACATTTAATACGTGAGTAATGAGTGAAAAAAATTAAAATTACAGTCTTTAAATTCTCAATAATTTCTGGTTGTACTGTAACTAAGCCTTCCGTTATCATTTGGGAGGATGTGGCTCTGGCCCCAGTTCCTCAAAGCGATCGTAGCGCTAAGGTGATCGTAAGTCCCATACTGTAACATAGACTTACGACTGTCGTAGCGCTACGATCGCTTTGAGGAACGGGGCCCTGATGTTTTACTCAAAACATTGACACAGATGCAGTGATGGAAATGTATGTTGTTTTGCGCCGCATTTAGCAACATTCCACCTGTTTCATTCAGGTGTGGGTGTGTTGAAGTTTTTAATGAGCGGTCACTCATTGCAGTCATGTGGGCTAGCTAGTGAACGGGTGGGTGAATCTTGTTTTAAGACGTACTTGGATCACGACAGGCTTTACATAATCACGCTGGTTGTTAGCATGAAGATTGTATGTGTTATCGGGGATTAACGACGCCTACTCGTTGAGAAGTCTATAACTCTTACTGCTCGAGCGGCGGTGGGGTAGCCTAGTGGTTAAAGCGTTCGCCCGTCACGCCTAAGACCCGGGTTCGATTCCCCACATGGGTACAATGTCTGAAGCCCATTTCAGGTGTCCCCCGCCGTGATATTGCTGGAATATTGCTAAAACTGGCGAAAAACAAACTCACTCGCTCACTCACTCATACTCCTCAAGCGGTGTTAACTTATTGATCAATGTTTTGTCTCTTTGAGTGTAGTGGTGGTTGTATATACGTAATTCACGTGATTAAATAAGTATCAGTGAGGTTTTCTATTTGTAATAAATCCCAAGTATTTATGAATCAAGTCATTATTGCACTAACGTTATTATGGCGCCATACTATATACTCCACTCCACGACAAGAGACAACAACGGCATCATCTAAGGGAGGTAAATATGCTTTACGCATTTTATTGGCGATTATACTTAGTTTAGGGGAGATAATTGTTCATATATCCGAAGGGATATAACTTTGCTCCGAAGTCTGGAAGACGTGAATATACAAATATATGTCTCAAGAAAGTCAAAGGTAGAGAACCATTCACTGAGACGTGATCCATGGAGAAAACCACTTCTCTCGGTCGTTATAGGACACTTGTCCATTTCCTAAATACAATTATCATTCAGATATGTCCTTTCACATTTGCGGCTGAATAATTATTACAATATCTTGACATCCGTGACCAGTTGTCAAAACGTGCAGAATAATCTGGGGAACTTGATTACAGAAATTGTGTAAGTTAATGACTTTCGAAACCCGACACGCCATCGTTTCGTAATCCGACACTTGGACGTATAACGGGTCATTAGTTTCAAGTTCAATCAGTGAGTGA